GCAAGTTGCACGTGGGGGAAAAAAACGCGCCTGATTTAAATGTCACACCTGAACGCTCACATCCTTTTAATTATGTTTGAAATTACGAACATTGCTCAACATCATGAAAATTAAACCTTATTTTCAATAAGCAATCCTGAAAATTATTTGGGGGTGCTTAACTTTTTTCCAGGTGTATATTACAATTTACCTCTATGTTGTAGAAACATATTGCCTTGAAAATCAATAATTGATATTTCATATTGAATCATATATTATAATTGTTAATTTACACGATATTTTTATCCATTCTGGCCTACATAAGTAGAAACTAATTGGTCCTGATGATGTGAACGAATTTCAATAATTTTTTTTTAATGCATATTTAACATCAAAATTTTTTCAATAATGGGTTTTAACACATAATAAGAAACGATAATTCACCTCATAACTTTGTATTAAGTTTTGGTATTCTTTATATCCAAACAATGACATCGAATATATGCACTTTATTAATGAAAATGACAAAAGAGTGCGTAGAAGTACGTTTAAGAAAATAGTTTACCTCAGTTCTTGAAACTTTCTTGTACAATCAAGAGTTTTGTCTCCAATAGAAAGAAGTCACTCTGCATGTTACCACAGTACAGATATCCAAAAAATATTTATGTCAGTAGTTTTACTAATTTTTGTCTGTGATAGCGTACATTTTCTCTTCTGCTTTACTCCAATCATAATAGTAGTATCTTCAGCCATAGTGGCTTCTTAAAAACTCTACAATGTCAGAAGTACGTACCACACTATCTTATCACATCAAAATAATGTTTCATTCTATTCCAACTGCAGACTTAGCTGTCGGTTGTGATGTCTGAGATGGTTGTTTCGGAGGTGGTTTATTTTTCTTACGCCACTCTACCCAGGCTGCTACTTCTGGTTGTCGTAAGTCACCTTTTTGCTCTAGCTGTTGGTAATATGCCTCCCTAAGAAACTTGAAAGCTTGTAAATTGGCATATGGGATGTGGGTGACAGGATCAAAATAGCGAGCAGGTAAACGGGTAATTGGACACACATTACGTGTAACTGGTTTTGGTTTTTTGCATGGAAAATATTCCCGTAAAATACCTTCATCCGTGAAGGAGATGAAGTTTCTGGAACATCTAGATGAAGATAAGTTTCCTCTGTTGGAATTCTCTTGTTCACTAGGAATACAAACATCAAAACAAAATTCTCAACTGAAAATAGTGACTAAGGTAGGATACAAGGTTTTGAATACATAGAAAATAAAATAAATACCAGACTTTACTGCTATTATAATATCAAACTACTATAAACTGTGTAAAACTTAATATAAAAATATATGATAAGAATACAACATTAAACTATATCACAATGTACATCATGTTAAACCTATGGACAGGGAAAAGTAATATTTGCATGTCACAACTTTTTTAAAAGAGTTATATTCAAAATTTAGTTAAATCTATTTATTATCAATATAAGTTTATGACCTTGACATCCAAAAATAGTTTATAATTCACATTTTCATAAGTTTTAATTCCTTAATTTCAAAAGAAATATTGAAATAAATTCATAATCAGCATTTCTGAATCACATGACACTCTGACTTCTCATTTATAGATTTTTTCTCTTCCCTCAAAATAGCTTCAGATTTTCGATCAATTAGAAATGCATATCATGGCTACTGACAAGCTAAAACATAAAATGTCAACCTTTTCTTAATTTACTTAGATCTTTGTTCAACCCACAGTGACATACCTCTCCCATATCCTCTGTCTTTTAAGAAATGTTTATAATGCTCTCTGATAGTGCTATTGGACATGTTTATAACCAACAGAAAGAGCATATTCTGAAATACATGACAGACGATTGTCTGTTTTGGTTTAGTGATCAAAGATGATAATTCGCAGGAAGAGATTATTGTATTTGGTTCAAGCAGTAATGGAATTTTTTTAACCTAGTTATATACTAGTTAAAAAGTTAGATAAATCTCAGTAGGTTTGGGACATTCTACTTTAGTGCCTTATATAGTGCTAAACTAACACAGCAAAAAAAGGTAGGGCTTACAAAAGCATGCATGCAAGTATAAAAGGCCTCACAAATAAAAACTATTTTTTTATATATTGTTATACATGTCTTTAGGAAAAGAAACTAAAACTTAAAAATTAGAAAGTTATTAAGTTAGATAAGAAAACTTAAACAGAAAAAAAAAAAGTTTTACTCAAGGACTGCACTCTCGCTGTCAATATAACTTGGTAGATTGTTTACCCTAACTTGATCTAAGTGCTTGCAGAGTGATTTATTGCTTTGTTATATGATTCAAAGTGCAATAAAATTATATGAAAACAGATGTAAAACTGTTAGAAGGCTGAGGCTGTTTATATTAATTAACTATAATTGTCTGTTACAATTGGCAGATTGTTTACCCTAACATGATCCAAGCTCACATGATTCAAAGCACAATAAAACTATATGTAAAACTGTTAGAAGTCTGAGGCTATTTATATTAATTAACTATAATTGTCTGTTACAATTGGCAGATTGTTTACCCTAACATGATCCAAGCTCACATGATTCAAAGCACAATAAAACTATATGTAAAACTGTTAGAAGTCTGAGGCTATTTATATTAATTAACTATAATTGTCTATTACAATAGGCTGTCTTTATATAAAAAAAGAAGTATTTTGATATTATTTCATATTTTCAGTGTTTTGTAACTAATGATTTCCGTACTGTTATTGTTGGGAGAAAGAAAATAAAAGATAAAGTATAAAACATTGCCCCAAAAAAACAAAAACTTTTGATATTCATTTAGGAGGTTCTAGAGATTAGGTTATGCAAATGAAATATGAAAACTGTGATATGAAAAGAGGAACTTTTATTCTTAGCATGAAAATAACTTTTCACGTACACTGACCCAGTATAGGCTTGAGAAATTCAGAAAAAAAGTCTAGTAAAAACACTATTCAAAAACCTGTTGTTGTTTTTTTGTGTACAACAGACTTGTATGCATAGTTTCATGGTTGTAAGCTCAGTTAATCAGACTCTGCTCATATGCATAGGGTTAACTAAACCATCTTAGCTTTGAAGCAATGGCATCAGTGATCTAACTATTACATCGAAATAAAATTATCTTCATTAAAAAGAGCCTTGGAAATTTATTCCTGAGGTAAAAAATCATCCTTTAGGGACTGCTCAATCACTTTAACATTGGAAATGACTGAACAAAGATTTTAAAGACAAATATTGTGTGTATAAAAAAAACAATATAATCATTACCTAGCTTCAGTGGTCACAACAGTAGGAAGTTCCTCAATTAGAGGCATGGAGACAGAATGATAGCGTATAACTGGACCCTTATAGGTGTGTTTTATGAACTTCGTCTTCTTCCTCTCCAACTCCAAACGTTGATAGGATTCTAGAAAACAATTGTCTGTTATAATGGATGTGTCATTTCTTGAAAATATGACTTAATAATCTTTATCAACTTAACTGAATAGAGGTTGATGGGATAAAAACCAGCAATTCAAAAAAATTTAAAACTGAATTACCTTTATAACAGCCAACTAAAAATAAAACTATACATCTAGTAACTTTTCTATGTGGATAAGTTTATTGATTTTCATTAGTTAATGAAGGTTGAGCTATTTTGATTATCGAATCAAACTTGCACTTTAGTAACCGAGATAAACTTATTACAAGTGAATAAGTAAAAAATTAATTTGATACATCTTGTCATGATATCAGACACATAAGTAAAAAAATTAATTTGATACATCTTGTCATGATATCAGACACATAAGTAAAAAAATTGATTTGATACATCTTGTCATGATATCAGACACATAAGTAAAAAAATTGATTTGATACATCAGGTCATGATATCAGA